CACAACTAGACTGAAGAACAAAACGACAGCAACTTGTCTGTTCCCCTTCCCCAATTCCCCAGCACTGTTCCCATCCCCCCAATTTCCCAATAAAAATCTTTAAAAAAAAAAAACCAATCCTGAAAACAAAGGCTATCAAGATGATAAATCTTTATCGGAGCTTATAATCAATATTCTCCTATTTTCTGATCTAGGGGGTTCAAGAATTCTTATTTGAGAGATTTTTACATACCTGTCAAGTTTACTTTACATTTAAGGAAGATCCTTCTGGCATTAGTTTTTAAAATACACAACTAGAATAAGAACTATTGTAAAAAACTACATTATATTTTAAACAAATTTCTACTATATTAAGGAAAAGTACAGGCTTTCTTTCTGGTTTGTCTTCCCTTTTAATGCTAGCTACCCACTACTGCCCTCTGCAGCATTTTCAATTCTTGCAAATTGATTGCCACTCCAATCACCATAAACCTGGTTTCCAACTCTAGATTATCTGACTCAATATGAGGGATATGAGTGTGTGTGAGTGTGTGTGTGTGTGCGTGTGTGTGTGTAGAGAAAAGGGAAGGTCCTACAAAACAAAACAAAACAAAACAAAACAGCACTAAAGCAACATGTCACAGTCCAAAAAAGTTGGCCCATCTGAGAGGAGGGTGTTCTTAATGTTCTAACAGACCCCAATCCCCCAGAGAAGGTTTTTTTCCTGACATTCATATTACTATATGAATATAGTAATATATTCATATAGTATTCATATTGTATCACAGGCCTTTATCTTTTTTAAAAAAACTAGTTTAATTACACACACACACACACACACACACACACACACACAGTAAGTAGGGTAATCAGTGAAAACATTCGGCTTCCACTCCAAATCTCTGGATAGGTTTGTATATCCATGCAGGAATAATACGTATTACAAACACTTAATGCACATTTCTTTTTAAACGTAAATGAAAGTGTTCACACCAGTTTATCATTCGAGACTGTAACTTGGAGATCATTCCTTATCAAGCGAAATTAACCTATATTAACTTAATTATAACCAAATAGATTCGAACAAAATAGATTTTAAATAAATCAACCTCTGAACCAATAGGTTCTGCCACAATTAATTAGCTTTTTGTTGCTACTAAGGGTTTTTATTACTACATAAAGAGGTGGTTCTCAAGCTTGAGCGCCCATCGGTATTACCTGGAGGGCTTGTTAAAACAGGTTGCTGAGGCCATCCCCAGAGTTTCTGATTCAGGTCTTGGGTGGGTGTTGAAAACTTGCATTTGTAATAAATTACCAGGCAACGCTGACGCTGCTGGTAAGGATGCTACACTGAGAATCAACCACTAGTATGAATGCTGCATTAAACCGCGTTCCTCCCATCTCCTAGCACAACTCGCCTAAGAAAGCATATGCGATTTCTCCCCCGGGAACCTCAGGAAGGGGCTGACAACGCCCACCCGCAAACGAAAAACCCCACAACTCCCCACTCCCAGCCGGAACTGAAAAGATGAACTTACATCCGGCGCCTGGCGCAGCCCAGCGACGCCATTTCCTTCCTACTAAACTCCGCCCACTCTGCGTCCCCAACGCAAGTAAGGGCGGACGGCCCAGAGGGCGCTAGGAGTCACGTGAGTCGAACGAGGTCTCGCGAGGGCTTTTAACCTCTCGCGAAACTTCACCCGCTTCTCTCTTTTCCTCCTTCCACTGTCCGGCTTTTTTCTCCTCCCCCTTCTTGCCGACCGAGTTCTTCCTTTTCAGACCGAGTCGCCTTGTCGCTGCGGAGATTTTCCCTGCTACTGCTCCAGCCGTTGCCGCCGCCTCCCCTGGGCTCATCTGCCCGGAGCCCTTCCCGCCGCCCCGTCCCCTACCCCAAGCAAGGTAACAAACCCGGTGAGGGGGAGAGTAAGGCCTCGCCCGGCCTGGGCCTCTTCCGAGTCGAAGCGGAGGCCAGAGGCCGAGGAGACGGCCCCCCGGGAGAGGCCTGGGCGCCGGCGAGAGTGTTAGGAGCCCCGGCCCCCTTTCCCACCCAGAGTTGAGCCCTGAGCGGCCCCAGCCGCGGTTGTGGCCTCCGGGCCGTGGCGGCGAACCTGGCCAACCCGGGGTACCCATCGGGTAGGGTTGGGCCGTGGGAGCCCTCTGAAGGACAACCTCGGCGGTTTCCGGCAGAGCCTGTTTTGTGGAGGTCCGGCACCGCTGGGGTCCGCTCGGTTCGTGCGTTCGGTTTCCATGGAAGCTGATGTTTGAATTCCGAGGTCAGAAATAATCGGCCAAGTTGTGGCGGGTTTTGAGGTCTTGGGTGGTTGGGAGGAGAGCAGCTCGGCTTGCTCTCGCCCCTTTGGAGCCCGTCCAGATTCCAGGCTGTCGTTGGACGGGAACAGTAAGACAGAGAAGGGTCCTTTAGAAACCTCGTGTGTTTGCTTAGTGATCGAGAAAGGATTCTCTCGTATCTCATTTTCAGGAGAATGAGTCGGATTTGATGAAAGGCACGTTCCTTAGAATGCCTAAATGGGGGGGGGGGTGGTATTTGTGTTTTTTGTTTACTGAACGAAATGCACCAGCACTTTTTTAAGAGACTGGGTGAAAGATTTTTGTTCTGGAGAAGAGCTTCTAAACACACGCTTGTTAATTGAATAATTCATGTAGAGTGAGTTATTTGTGTAGTTAATCCAAAAGGTTTTGGAAATACTCTTTAGTTATATATTTTTTTCGAAGTCTCGATTCTTCCAACAGATTAGTGTTTATTGGTTTTTGGGGGGGATGAAGATATAAGGACTCTGTTAATTGAGCCCAACACAGTGCCTTCTCTATTACAGGAGTTTACAGGAAATTAGAAATTCTCCTTTTCCCTCATCATTTGTTTTCTGTTTTTCTATATGGAATTTATCTGACATGTTTATAATGTTATCTATTCCCTTGAAGTTTGTGGTTTGGCTCACAGCTTTTCCCTGAACTAAGAGTAAAGGCAATGGCGATAAACTAAGCTGCAATGAATTGTAATAAATTGGGAGCAAATTGGTACGGTTTAATTCAAGCAGACAGAATTATTTTATGGGTTTTTTTGTTCAGTTTTCATGACCACCTCTTTTTTCCCCCAGATGTCAGAGGATCTAGCAAAACAGCTGGCAAGCTACAAAGCTCAACTCCAGCAAGTTGAAGCTGCATTGTCTGGAAATGGAGAAAATGAAGATTTGCTAAAGTTAAAGAAAGATTTACAAGTAAGTTGTGAGGGCACACGTACAATTATGTTAAAAAAGTATGTGTTTTTCAAATGATTTATTGCTTAGAATCTATATATATCCAGAGCACCCTTTTGAGGTGTTTCCCTCCCCCCCATTCCCTTTGTGTATATGCTCATAGGCAAACGTGGCTTGTGGAATTAGGGCTGCTTCCTTAGTCTGTATACATCAAAATGAGTGAAGCATTGTCCTTTGTTACGTAAATCTTGTGTGCTCATACAACTTTAAAAAAATAAGAGTTGATTTTAGAAGTCTTTGTCAAACTTTCTAGAGAAAAAATAAATATAACTTTACAATGTAAAGTGTTTTTGCTCTTAAAGACCTGTGAAGGAAATTTAGTTCAAAAAGAAACTAAAATTAAAGGAGAAAAATAGAGCTTAAGATTCTTTTTAATGCCACAAGATGCTTTGAAAATGAGAGAGAGACAAAGCTAGTGGGTAACCCCTTGTATTGAAAGCACACTATAAAAATATCTAGAGAGATACTTGTTTTGTGTATAAATGTTACAGAATGTTTGAATTTAAGGCTAGGTTTTACAGTGTAGTTGACGCTTGAAGTTAAATTGAATCTATGTGAAAAGGAGATTTTAATTTGTTTTGTTTGTCATGGGAGAGTTCAGTAGGTATGAAACTTTTAAAAACATGCACTGGGGTTTCAAAACAAATAAAGCCTTAATAGTAAATATCTGTTGTTTCTCAGAACACTAGGTTTATTAATAAAAACACCATATATAATATTTGTAAATATATGACTTTTTATCTTAACAAATTTGAGAATTTAAAATTCTGAACCTGATGTTTGGAAAGTTTTAAAAGGTGTTTTAGTTATATTGTCTTTATTGATTGAGTACAAAACTTTAATCATCTTTATCTTATCTAAGTCATCCTTTTGCCCATTAAAATTATTAATATCTTAAGGATATTAGAACTGCAACAAATAAAAATTATTTGAAATGGGGTCCAGCCAGAGCCAGAGCCAGGATTCTAAAAGAGCTTATCTGGACATAATTCAAATGTTGAATATTTTCAGGTTCAAATTCTAGATTTAGGATAAACTTGGAGGAAGTTGCAATGGTATGTTATTTTTTAAAACAGAAAACAGGACCCCTTTTCAATATGTAGAAGTCAGGACTGGATTTCAGGGTACCAGTCAATACAGAAAAGATGTTGGGGAACAATTTTTTCCACTCAGGCCAACTTTATTCTTGCCTCAAAGAGAGATCCTGGCATACCCCCCATCTTTTACCAATTTAAAAGCAGTCTTTTTTTCTTGGAAGAAAATGAAACATTGTGTGCATTGATATATATATATATATTCTTCTGGGCAGTGGGAGGAGGGGTCTGTGTAGAACTGATAGAGGGGAAATTGGGAGTGCAGGTTGAAAACAGCATTATTATGAGGTCTTTTTAAATTACTAGAATAAATTGCCAGAGTCTGGGCAGATTTGCTTTCCTATGAGATGACCTATAGTGGAAGTACTTTAGGGAGAGACTGTTGTAGGCCTTATAGTAAGCATGTAAATGGCTTATTTAGGGTTCAGTTAGTAATGACCTAGGGGCCATTTATCTGTAAATAATCCTCTTTTCTATAACCATTTAGGACAGCACTGTACAGTAGAACTTTCTGTGATGATAGACATGTTCTGTATCTGCTGTGCAGTACTGTAGCCACTAGCCACATTGTGGCTATTGAATATTTGAAATGTGGCTAGGGTGGCTGAAGAACTGAATTTTTAATATTAATTATATAGCCATATTGGATGGCAAAGATTTAGAAGCTTAAGTTCTAACACTTTAGACAGTAATATAATACAGGATGTTTTTCCTGACCAGACTTGATCACGTTTTCTTTTCCTCTTAATCTGTGAAAAAAATTCATTTTGGTTACTAGATTTAGGTCTGTTTTGAACTGAAAACTACTCAAAGATGGAAGGCATCATTTAAGATTAGATAAAATTCTGAAAAGTGTTTGGGTGTCTGTTTCTACCTAGTAAATGGCTCCATTTGACTACAGTTACAGCTTCTATTTGTTCATGGGTTTTTGGTTTTTTTTTTAATGTTTTTTTTCTTCTCTGCTTTCTCTGGGATATACCTCATGCTGTTAATATTTAATTCTGCCTTTTATATTTGCTGAAAAGTCTGTTCAGACTGATGACTGAGTTTGTGGCGTCCTTTGTTTTCTTGTGTTCCTCTTATGGAATATCCTTAATCTTGGTTATGAATTTGTTTACCATTTCATTTATGACAAAATACTCAGTGGTTTTCATTTTGCTGGTAAGGCTTCCACTTTTATCTCTATGTACTGTCTTTCGTATAAAGTAAAGTTACGCAGCAGGCAGCAAATTGGTCTACTGAAGTTCTAATTGCCTTTTTTTACTCACTTAAAAAAGTGGGTATAGTAAAATCCAGGCTAGCTAGCTGACTAGCTCCCCAAGGCAGTCTGTGATATTCACAAAAATAGTCAATTTATTAAGCTGTTTTGCTGAATAAAACTGGTTCTAAAGGAGGCAGGGGTCAAGTCACTTGTCTCATATATTACAGTGGCTCTCTGCATCCCCGAAACGCCTTCCTTCAGTAAGCAGAGTGCTTGAGTGCATCCCCTTTGACCTGCTGATATGTAGATCACAACATCTGATGCTTCCTGGAATTGCCGATTACTGTAACTGCTGCCCATCTGTCAATGAAGGAGCAGTTTCAGAACTCAGACTTGGGGGAGGAAAAGTAATTAATGGTATGTACCTTTAAGAACCCCCTCATACATAAAATAGTTTCTCTAATACTTTGGTCCATATGCACATGTGAAGAAAAAAATTTAGGAGGGTCTTCATAGTTTGTTGGGAGTGGTATGTAAAATATGGCAAAGTGAAAGGACAGCTAGGGATAAATGCTGTGGATTTTTTAAAAAGTTGTTTCAGTGCAGGGCTTTGCAAATTCTTTATAACATGCACAGCTTTTCAGGACCCTTGTCTATCGTGAAAATGTACTTCCTTAGGAAATATAGTGGGAAGATTTTCGATCCTAACAGCAGTAGAGTTCTAAATCTGTGACCTACAATTGCAAAATTCATATTTGTGCTTTTGTAGGTAAATGATCCCTAGTTAAATGGAATTATTTAATGATAGGGATTGTATGGGCTCTTCAGTCAGGCTTACTAGATTATATTCCTGGCCCTACAATTGGTTAAATAAAAACAAGACTGAATAATTTACTCTCCTTCTTTGTATAGTACATGATATGTTTGGAAGTTCTTTGCTTTATTTGCAAACAGTCATCTAAATAAAAGGTACTTGAATTTGACTACTTGGCACCTAATAAAACTTCACTAAAGATAGTCTCCTGAATTTTTAACTGAAATCTGAG